ACCATGTGTCAAAGAAGAATTCCAGTGGTTCTTTTAAAATGAAATGACCGGGCTGGAGAGATGGCTCAGTGGTTAAGAGCACTGACTGCTCTTCCAGAGGTCCTAAGTTCAATTCCCAGCAACCACATGGTGACTCACAGCCATCTATAATGAGATCTGGTGTCCTTTTCTGGCGTGCGGTCATACATGGAAGGGATGTTGTCTACATAATAAATAAATAAATCTTTTTAAAAAAATAAAATGAAATGACCTAGCCTTTTTAAATAATAGTAAACATAGTCAAATATTGAGAAAAATGGCAAAGGATGAAAGCCACAGAAAGACTTGATTAGGAAACTTCTGAATACTTGTATTTAAGGGATTTACGGCTCCTGGCCTATCACACTGTATCCAGTGGCATGCTCACTGAAAAGATGTAAGCGATTGTGGGTATGGTTGTAGCTATCAACATACATATTACACCTTGTTAAAATGGTCCCACTAGAAATGTGGGAGTAGGCTCCTGTCAAACATCAAACATTTAGAGTGCAGCCCCAGCCATAAGAAATTTCACAGCATCACTTATGAGGGTTAACAAATATACTTTGAGCACAAACTATTGTAGACTACATTAGGAGCGTTCAGTTCTTCCATTTATTTTACACAGAGAGAAACTGAGGTCCAAAAAGCGGAAGGGATTTGCCCAGGAATAAGTTAACTTTTTTTAAAAAATGACTCTGGGTTATCATGATTGCAAGTAATTCCTCAGTTTAATGGTCCTTTGCTTTCGCTGTAGTATTAATGAGCCATTTTTCTTACAAGAAGGACTCACTAAAGAGCAAGGCAGACTGACCAGCCACTTTTAGGCCTGCGCTGAAGCCTTCCTGCTCCAGCAAAAGACAATTGCTAACCTCTCTGTGCTACAAGGTACTCATAGTTGGTCCTGACCCAAGAGGAATTATGTCCCAGTCAGGATGGAGTAAGCCTAGCACTATTGGAGGGGTCAACAGCCACGACTAGAGTGGTCAACTTCCCTATCAAGGAACCAACTACTCTGCTCTCCCTTTTTCTCTGCATCCACTGCAACATCTCAGGATAAGGTAGGTAGAATGACCCTAGAGAGGAAGAAAAGAAAAGGTCATTACACATAGTTTCCTCTTTTGAAAAGATGTTTTCAGTTCTGGTTTTTGAGACCAGGTTACCTTATGTAGCTCAAGCTGGCCTTTACACCACCATCCCCCTGCCTCAGTTTCCTGAGTACCTGCTGCGATTCTCCATGCGCCACCACTCCTGGCTCCTATCTCCCATTTTGACAGGGAGCCCGTGATTTTGCAATTGAAAGGAAAAATTAAAGATGGTGTTTCTCCCTCCTGGAAATGCATTGCTTCTTTTATTCTTCTGGGATATCACCAAGGATGGGGAGTTTGGGAATCTGGGGAAGGACAGAGACAGAAAGGCTGTGTGTTTCTTGGAAACAGAATTTCAACTCTTCTCTAATAATCACCAAGGGGAAAGATGGATGCCCTGAGTTCCTAGACTGGAAATGACTTTCCCTATCACATAGAAAATACATGAATCTAAACAGGTAGACTGACCTTTGCTGGACCTTTTATTTCAACATGAGAAAGCAAGACTGGTATACTGAGATTCTCTGTCTGCTGAACAACTGGGATTGGAAGAATTGAAAGGTCCTAGCCGAGTAAAATGGATCAAAAGTCTCTCTCTCTCTCTCTCTCTCTCTCTCTCTCTCTCTCTCTGTGTGTGTGTGTGTGTGTGTGTGTGTGTGTTATAGATTTATCTTATTTTTAAGTGTATAGATGTTTGCCTGCATATATATCTGTGCACTACATGTGTGCCTGGTATCTGTGGAGGTCAGAAATGGAGAATCAGATTCTCTGGAACTGGAGCTACAGATAGTTGAGAGCCACTATGTGGGTGCTGGGGACTGAACTCAGGTCCTCTGCAAGAGCAGTCAGTGCTTTTAACTGATGAACCAACTAACTCTCCAGATACTTCTATACTACTTTTTGAGGGTTTTTTTTCTGTTTTGTTTTGTTGTTTGTTTGCTTTTGTTTTCTGAGAAAGACTCTTACTCTGTAGCCTAGGTTGGCCTAGAAATCAGGCTAGCCTCACACTCACAGCAGTCCTCCATCCTCAACCTTCTGAGGTCTGGGTTTACAGGAGTGAGCCACCATGCCCACCTTTCCTTTTTTGAGATGGGGCCTCACTATGTAGTCTAGGCTAGCCCGAAACCCATGGTCCTCCTGCCTCAACCACCTGCGTGCTAGGATGATAGGTGTGTGTGTGCACCACCATGCCCAGCTCTCCAAAATCCTTAAGTGTGGAGAAAGGCAGAAAACAGGTGGCAATGTAATTCAGCCGTCTTCCCAAACTGGAATGTGCCTGTAAATCATTTAGAAATCTGCTATAGTGCAGATCAGGTTCTGTGAGTCTGGAGTAGGGCCTAAGATTCTGCATTTCTGACTAACTCAGGTAACATTGGTGTTGCTGGGCCATGGAACTGAAGCTGCCGCAGGGGTCCCTGGGTATTGCAGGCTAGCATCCCTGAATGGGGTTTCTCTGCAGCTCCTGCCTTTTGGCATTGATGAAGGGTGTTCTCCTTTTGACCAAAGAAAGCTGGAAGGTGGGTAATTAGTGAGATCCTTCTGGTATCCTTGATCTTTGTAACAACCTAGCATGGCTGCAAGAAGATTTTTAATTAGACTAAATTATCTAGTTTAGCTATCCATAGAAACCAAAGCCCCAACTGATATGTCTTTCTCATTTTGCTAGCATAGAGATGGCTTATGTGCTGTGATTTTTAAGATGTTGAACACTGCCTGTGGACATATTTTATAGAGAAATAAACACACAGCCCAATGAGATGTATAGTGTGGTTTTTAATATATTATATATTCACTTATTTATGGGGAAAATAAACACACAAGCCAATAAGCTGTGTATTATTACTTTAATATATTGAATTTATTTCATACCTATATATTTTATGAGGGAAAATAAACTAATAAGATACACGATATTATTATAATAACACATCTAATTGTTCCATATTAATTTATTTATGAGAGAAATAAGTGCAATTTAACATGACATAAGCTTATTTAATGCATGAGGTAAATTCTATATTAAGACAGTTTAAGGGATTAAATTCCAGCCGAATAAAATGTGTGCGCTTCCCTCACTGAGGGACCCGTTGGGGAAAAATGCAGTGGGTTTTCCTAGCCTTCCATGTCACCACCTACGTTGGTTCCAAGAGAAAACTCTACAAGGCCTAGAAAATAAACTGCTTGAAGGAAGGAAGGAAGGAAGGAAGGATAGAAGGAAGGAAGAAAGGAAAGAAAGAAAGAAAGAAAGAAAGAAAGAAAGAAAGAAAGAAAGAAAGAAAGAAAGAAAGAAAGAAAGAAAAGGCTGCATCTGCCAGGGAGGTAGGTGTCTGGTGTCTGTTTCTGAGCCCGGAGAAATATTAAATAAACCTGAGGAGGATGAATGGCTTCCCAGGGTCCCTTAAATCTCCTGGTTCCGGAGAACAATCCCAGAGGCAGATGGGGAAGAGCGATCCTGCTTCGCCTTTACTGAGTTTTCAAAGCCGGGAAGGGTGCTGGGGGCGGGGGGCCGGGAGGGGAGGGGAGCCGTGTTGAGATGGAAAATGAAGTTGTTGGTCAAGACAGGTGGGCCTACATTTGGAAAACGCTCTGGCACGGTTTCAAAGCCCAGAGCAGAGGATCAAAAGCCACACTGGGTGAAGTGGCCCGGGCCCCAAGGCTCTCCTCCCCCTCCCATAGCACAGGGACTCCCTCCTCCTTGCGTTCCCTGTCCTCCCCATCCCTGAGGCTTTCTTTCTATTTTGTAAGTAAAATAAAATGGAACCCCACAATTGGGGGAAGGCTCCCAGACTGTCTTCTCTTCGGTGTGAAAGGTCTGGCCTCAAGAAAAGGGGGGGGGGGGGGCAGGAGCCGGACACCGAGCGTCCCGCAGCCGCTGTCATGGCGGCCACAGTTACTTCCCTGGCGCTCCTAGCTGCCCAGCCCAGCGCCATTTTGAACATCTTCCCTGCTTCCTGCTCTCCCCGACGCGGGTCTCGCTAAACCTTCCCGCCTTGTTGACCAAACACCTCCCAGGGCATGCTCCACATCGGCTTCCGGACAAAACTAACCCGGATTCCAGTCCTAAGCGACCTACACCCCAGTAGCACCAGGCGCAAGCCTCGGCCCGAGCAGGCAGAATCGCTGCCTGGTTCCTGCACCTGAAGCCAGCACGCTAGCAAGCCAGAGGATCCCCCTTTAATTCCTTTAACCTTCTGAGCCTCCTTCAGGGCTCGAAGCTGGCGGGCTCCTGAGACATTTTCTTTCATCCGCTTCTGTTCCAACGCTCTTTTTTCCACCCACCCCACCTTTATTTCCAATAAGAAGCCAGGGAACAGTCTAGCAGGGCTAGAGGCCGGCTGCTGGACGGACGAGTAGGTGACCAAGCTTCCACAAAACTACCAATTCTTCTTGGTGTCCTGAACAGAGAAGTTGCCACCAAGCAGGGCCACTTTTGTACCATCCGGACTTTGCCAGCTAGGGAGATGGGACCATGCTACCGCTTGGTCACCCGAGCCAGACCAACCTCAAACGGGGCCTGGACTTCGGAATAGAGCTGAATCCCAACACAAACACTCGTTTTCGTATTATAAAGACATTTATTTAATCTATGAAAATAATGTACAATAAATACTTTCCCCTTTTCCTATTATTAAACAATTTTAATAAATAATCTACGATCTAAAACTTAAAAAAGAGGAAAATAGGTCCCTCTAGCTCTTTTTAAGAAAACCCTCCCCCACTAGAGTTTAATTATTCCTGAGATTTCGTTGGAAGGAGTTTTACCAAATGGATTTTTTTCTGTATGGTTTTAAAAAGTGAAAGGGAGTGGATTAAGCACTAATTCATTAATACCTGAATTTTAGCAAAACACATACATATAACTAGGGGTGGAGAAGGCTCTATTTTTTCCCCCAATAGTCGAAGAGGACCAGGTAGAAAGGATCAAAGAAAGAAAAAAGTTAGGGAAATTGCAAGTCGATGGCACAGAGCGTGCTGGTAAAAAATTCCAGCTCTTCCTCGGAAAAGGGGACTGGGCTGTCCAGCGAGCCCTGCAGGCTGGGAGAAAGGCCTCCAGACATTTGGAGACAGGAGTCTGCTGCGAAGAAGTTGAGGTCGGGCAGGAAAGGCGAATCCGGCCGCTCAGGGCAGGTATCTTCGGGCAGAGGCTCTGGCTGCAGGCCTGGGGCTCTGAGCGTCGTGCAGCCGGGGTTCAACGCGCCCACACTCTCCAGGGAAGTGGCAGGCAGCACCGGCAGCGGCCCGTCCGGAGGACCCTGCGCAGCCTCGGCCGGGAGGAAACAGGCTTCTCGCAACCGGTGAGAGGCGGAGACGCCACCGGGGCTCACTGCTGGTTCCTCGGCTGGGTCTCCCGAGTCGTCCGGGGCGCTCGGCCCGCCTGGCTCTCCATCCGGCGGTTCCCGATGCTGCGTCTGCCGCTTGTGTTTCATGCGTCGGTTCTGGAACCATACTTTGACCTGCCTTTCGGTGAGGTCCAGCAAGGCGGCGATCTCCACTCGTCGCGGCCGGCACAAATACTTGTTGAAGTGGAACTCCTTCTCCAGCTCCAGCAGTTGCGTGTTGGTGTAGGCCGTGCGCAGCCTGCGCGAGCCGCCGCCGCCGCCGCTCTCTGGCAGTCCCGGGCCATCTGCGAGGAAAGTACCCTGCGCATCAGAGAGGTCTCAACACAGCCTCGCTTTAGCTGAGATCGGGAGCACCCAATCCTCTAAAAAGACAATCAGCAGCCCTACCCAGGCTCCCACCCCACCCCCCAAAGCGGTTCCCTTTCCGTGGCTTTGGTTTTTTTGTTTTTTGTTTTTTTAAGCGCTCTCCCACGCAGGAAGACCTTGCCGGGGTCAGGTCGGTGCATTCAGAGCCGCCCACGGGCCACGTAGGGGGCGGGGAACAATTTCTTTTCGCTCCCAGAACCTCAGAGCCTCCCTCCCCCAGTCTTCCCAGTGGACCCCTCAATTCGGAACTTTCCACCTCAACTTGGAGAGAGGGATCTTCACCCCTTTTCTTCCTAGCTTTTGCATTTCCCCTTCTCTCCTAGGCTTGAGAGAAGTGGAAAGATCGCATCTTTTCCTGGCTCCAGATCTCAGGCACAACACTTCATTCCTCTACATAGATAAAGGGGAAACACTTCAATCGAATCATTTTCTTTCAGCACATAAAAAAACACCCTCTCCCCCTCCCACGCCCAGTCAGCTTCCAAAATCTGCTGGTGGGTAGCGGTGGTGGTGCTGGTAGTGGCTAGGCCTGGACTTCACCGGGATACTCTACTTCCCTAATCCCACAATCCATCGACCCAGGGAGCCCCACCAGACTCCCCACCGTCTCACTTTCTCCCCTTCTCTTCCAGCTGCCCTTCACCCCGCCCCCACTACGCTTACCCACCTGAAGGTGATCCGACCCCGGAGGCCCGAACCGAGGAAGCGACTGGAGAAGAAGAAGCGGCTGTTTGGCTGGGTTTCTTAGCGGATTTCTTCTCTTTCATCCAGGGGAACTCGGGGGCTGGGGGGGCGGCGGGGAGTGGCGGCGGTGGCCGCAGAGCAGGCCCATCTTCAGCTTGCTTTTGGCTCCCGGGTCTCTGAAGGGTGGAGGCGCCGGGCTGGAGGCTGGGGAAGGTTTGCTCCAGAGGAGGAGGAGGAATTAATGTCGACTCCTTGATTGATGAAGTTTGAAATGTCTCCAAGACAGCGGGGAAGGAAGTCAGACACTCGGCGAGCGATGGCTGGCTGTTTATAAACCCAATCTCCCTCTCAAATTCAAAATTCATGGCTTTCAATGGTGGGGGAGGGGGCCTGCTGGGGGGGGGCGTCAGGAGGCAGGATCGGAAGGGACCCCCTCTCCCGCCCCCCCCAGGTTTATGCAATAAAGCGATTTCGCGGGGGAGGGGAAATTCTCTCTCTCTTTTTTTTTTAAATTTAGGCCTTTATAATTGTATATTGCTGATAAATACAAGCGTATGGGGACTCTCTCTATTAAACCCAGGACTCCGACGAAATTGCAGGGAATTCATGGTCACGGGACCGGTCTCCGCCAATCGCTCGTCTGGGCCTGGTGGAAAACACAGGCATTATTTCCTTTAATTGATTCAAAAACTCCAGAGGACCACGACCTGGATACCACAAATCTTCCTCCTGTACCTCCATCCCAACTCCAGCACCCCACACTCTCCCCAATTGCTCTCCTTTCCCAGAAAAACCAGAAGACCCGCTTCCTCGCTTTCAGAGACTGTGTGGAGGTGGGAGTCGGCGGAAACAACCACATTTAAGGGAGAAATGGCCTTCTTGTCTAAGGATTTTAATTGAGTCAAATATATGCTTTCTTTATGTGGCCACCAGTATCCTCTCCCCCACCTTCCGTCACAACCCCTAAAAGAGAAAAGCCCATTTGGGAGGAAGTGGGGGTAGAAAGAGGCTTCCACTCTTTGGGGAAACGTCTGTAATAAAGTGAGAATCAGAACCGAGACAGATGAAAGGCAGCAGTACCCACCAGAGGCAGCGTCCCACCCACCCACAAGAAGCAGCGGTTTGAACTTAAGAAATGCACAAGCTGGCACAACACAGGGAAACACCAGGAGCACTTTGGGTCTCTGGTCTTCCTGCAGCTATGTGCTCTATTCTCTATTCTCTGCCCAGTATTTACAGGCCATTCCTTATGTCCACCTGCCTTCCTGGCGGAGTCTTCTATACTCGTCTGTGACACCCCAGCACTGGCAATAGGAGAGTCTAAGAAGGCCTAAGATGGCAGATACATTCATAGCCCTCAGGTCGTATCCATGTATATATCCAGGGCGCCAAGGTAACCATCCACTTCCAACTTTCAAAGCTAAAGTCAATGCATGGGGGGAGGCACTGTTCCTCGGGACAAAGGAACTTTCCCTCTCACATTTGCCTTTGTGCAATTTTTTTAATCCCTGATTTTTTTTTTAAAAAAATCCCTAAAAATGGAAGGAGAAGAAATAACGACCACCACTGAGATTATAGTCTGTTTATGGCCCCCAGAGGGGGAAAAAACTAATATATTCTATTGTGAAGAGACTATGATAGGCTCAACTTTAGAATGTTGCAACTTACTAGAGGAAGGAGACACAAAACTCAGAGCCACAAGCAATTTGGTGGGAAACTAGGCCTCAAAGCTAAAAATGAAAAGTCGATCTGGGGGAAGATTTTTAAATAAGTGGGTCAGAGGGACCAAGAGGAGATGAGGCGATCAATCTTAGCCCCCTGACAGCTCCCTCCGATTGCATCAAAGAATTTGGCTCTTTGGGAAAGCAGAGGGAACAGCCTAAATTCCACGTCCCTTAAAAAGGCCTGAGGGAGGGGGTAGCAAAAAAGAAAGGTGATTCTGGGAGGGCCAGGAAACAGATGGGAAATGGGGACAGAGGGAAGGCGCTAACTTGGGTGGAAAGTTTGCCCCGGAGAACTCCCACGACTCTGGCCTCCCCTCCCCCTCTTCTCTCTCTGCGGCCCAGCCTGAAGGAGAAGGCTGGTTAGCAAAGAAATGGCAACTCAGCGGAAAACTGGAACTAGAAACTTTCTGTCAATGTAACGTCTGCGTGGGCGGTGGTGAGTATTTATAGAAAAAAAAAAAGAAAAGAAAATAAAAGGAGTAGTCTGACTAAAAGGTGGGGGGTGGAGGGCCTGGATGCAGCCAGTCGCTGCAAGGACAGAAAGAGGCTCTTGAGGAACTGCTCTTAACTGGGCCAGAGGGTCAGACAGGGTGGTGTGTAACAGCTTCAAAAAATTACATGTGTATAATATATATTATATGTAATATACATTCCATTTGGGTGGTGGTTAGCAGGGGGAAATCCAGATAGCAGCTGTCTGCAGGTTGTGCTGTGGGGCCTGTGAAGGGTTTTCTCCCTGGCCGTGCCCTTGGACACCTCTACGAGTTTTGTAACAAACCAGTTGGCTGCAGTAACCAGAGTTCTTCTAAGGCAATCAGGGCCCAGACTGTCCTGTAGGAAATATAGCTCTCTAACCATTGATGACAGATTTTATGGCCAGATTAGTCAAGAGCAGAAAACTTGGGTGTTAAAGGGGGTGGGGGGAGTGGCAAGAGAACCTTCCTTCCCAGAGACATCCTCCCTGCCCCCTGTCCTCTAGGAATCTTGCGGCACAGATTTTTAGCTCTGTTTTTAACAGCTTTTGCTAAGTACCTGGAGTCTTGAAGACAGAAGGGAAGGTTCTAGTTTTGTTTATAGCCCCAGCTTCAAGCCAAAGCACTGCTTTTTATCTATCTAGCTAAAGTCTCTCTTAATCCCGTTCCTCTCCAGCTAGATAAATAAGCAATCCACCTCTCCCTCCACCCTCAGAGCCAAACATGACCCTTCATGTAGTTATATCATTCAGAAAAAGTTACTCAGGGACGAGAAAAAGGGAAGGAAAGACAGACCCTTGAGCATCATTTGATCCCAATCAAACTTTGCACGCTCCTGTGCCTTTAATTTATATCCTGACCCAATGCTAAATTGCTTGCTGCCTGGATGAGCCACGTCCAGTTTAAAAAAAAAAAAATTCTACTTGGTGGGGAGGGGGTGTATTATTCAGGTTGTTTTTTATTGTTATTTATTGTTGCATAAAGACTGTAATTACTAACCTTGGACTGCCAGGAAGCAACATAAAAATGAAAACCAGCCCTCGCTTTAAGGCTGAGGGCCTGGAACGATTCTCACCTCCTCCCCACATCACCACTATCACCAAATATATGCTCCTAATTAAGCAATGCGGGTGCAAGGCTTACAATTAGAATTATGTAACTCTTCAGCAAGCAGCCTTCGCTTCTCTTTCAACGAATTAGCTCCATATTTCAGCCTCCCTGTCTCCTCGCTCTTTATCGGAGACTGCGATGCAGTGGTGACATTTCATCTTTGACAGACCCTCTCTATCCTTGCTCCAATGTGATAAAACTTTTATGGAACCAGGACTAAGAAATGAAGTTTTCCCAAGGATCATGGAAACAGAGCCTCACATCAGCCTGGGGACCGGTTTATTTAAGCTTGGTTTCAACAGCTTCCCTCACTCCTCCCTTTCCCTGGCAGGAGAAATCAAAGCGGCCTCCTCTTCCTCTGCCCCGGGCTTCATTTAATGATTTAATTTCACTTTAGTTCTAAGGCTTGACCTGAGAAGTCTAGGCCTGGGTTTGTTGTTGTTTTTTTCCCCCCAGATTAATCATTTTCCTTTGTTTTCATTTTAGACCCAATGGTGGTTGGGCTTCTGGTCACGTGACAGCCTCCTTGTAGCTCCGGAAGAGAACCGTGAAGTTTAGGTTGCCTGGAAGAAGCAGCAATAAGCTAGATTTTGCTTTGGTTTGATGTGGGCAGAGGGGTGCATGGAGGTGGTGGTCTGAGGAAGAAGAAAGGTCAAAAACTGAGAAAAACAGAGAGGCAAAGAGGCTAGCAGACAGCTCAAGATTCCCTTCCCTCCCCCAACTTGTTACTTAAACCTTAGCTGAAGAACTTGGCAGAATAGTCTAGACTGCTATGAATGTCAAAAACCCAGAGTTTAAACCAGGACAAAAAGCTGGGGAGGGAGACAGAGGCCTGAGTAGTGGACAAAAATGCCCTCCCTCTTAGGAGATATTGGTAATTATTGGAACCTTTTCTGTGTAATCTGAATTGGCCACCAGGACAAGATAAAATTGATAACAGAAAGTTTATTCAAGAATTGTTTTGACAGACAACCCTTTTAACTAAGGAAAAAAGGTAACTACAGAAGAATAAAGAAAGTTCCAAGAGAGAATTAACTCTAACTCTACAAATTCAGGACTGTACAGTGACCATTAGGAGCTGAGTTCATGCCTTTTAGAACTAATTACAATTGCTCATAAGTACAAGTTTAACATAAATCTACAGCTCTCGTCTAGAATACAATAAAAACTAAAATAGCTGGTTTTACGTGACAGGAAACACAACATCCTTTGTAACAAGTAAATACTAAAAAAGTACATTTTTCCTTTTTTGTTCCTCATATAAATACATAATGTAGGGGGGATAAATAATACAAAAAAAGAAAATATTTCAACAGGCTATAACCAATAAATATATATGAAAATGTTCACTAGAACACACGCTTTTTGAGGGAAGCTGGACTTCTGCAGGCCCAGACATCTCTCACAGTTGTTTTTTTTTTTTAATATCCATTAAAATGTAAACTCCAAGTGCAACAAGAGAGTGCCCTGTCAGGAACTGGAGCAAGGTACATAGGCCCAGCCGCTGCTCCTGCCTAGGACAGACAGTTTGTTCAAATATACCCTGTTTTCACGTTAAGTCAAGAGAGTAACAGAAGAAAAAGGAAAGTGGAGAGCTTCGAGTGGATTGCTTTCCAGGGAGAGAGAGTGGGATGGGGTGGGAGCTGAGAGGAAGCAGAGTGGCAAACCTCCAGTCCTGACAACTTGCCTGCCTTAGTCTCTTAACTTTTTCTTAAAAGAAAAAAAATATATCTATTTATATTATAGGCAGCTCTAACTTTCAGGATCTCTCACCATCCCTGAGCCCTCTGGAACTTGTAATCAGTAGGGGTGGGGGTATAGATATGAATGTCCTTAGAGCAGAATATCGTGGGGCTAGACATGGTGGGCATTACAGGAAGCCTCAAATAGGTGGGGGCAAATTGAGGCTTCTGGGGAGTGGGAGGAAAGCATTTTGTGCCCTTAGATTTAAATGTGTTTTCTTATTTTTCATAAGGAGAATGAAAGGGAAGACAAAAAAAAAAAGTCAAGATTTGGGGGAATTGCCCACAGAGATGGAAGGTAAGTTGGTTGGTTGATGAGTGCCAAGCCATAAATTTTGAATGTGCTTCTCTGCCCTGCTTTCCTATCTGGGTTCCCTCTACCCGACTCCCCCTCCAATCTGAAATTCCAACTTGGTAGTGCTGGAGCCCTGGGATAGACGTCGCCTCCAACCTGCTGTGGATTCCTTTCCAAGGGTGTGGGCTGGCAGATGGAACCAGGCTTGGAGGCCTTAAAGACAGCCTCAGGCCAAGGGATTGGGGAAGGCTCCCCAGGCCCGTTTTGTCTCTGGAAGCCTGCAACAACCCCAACACACACAGGCCTCCAAACCGCCCCCACAACCAGCTCCACAACCTCCCTAGCCCTTGATCCCCGCCCCCCACCTGCCCCTCACATCACAGGTGTGTCAATTTGGGTGCTTCTTGAATTCTACCCTGAGGCGCGTGGTGAGAGGAGAGGTCTGTGTAGGTGGGGTGAGGATCACAGGGTCCGTGATGCTGGCTGGGGGCCATAGGGGGCGTCCCGTTGTAGTCCAGGTTCCCCGAGGGGTGGTGGGAAAGGTGATTGAGGCCGTAGAGGGAGGGGCCGGCAGGGGGCGGCAGCGGATCCGCGTAGCCACCCCCGCCCACATACACCGGGCTGCCCTGCATGGTGGGCGTCCCGTAAGCACCCCCGTTGGCTTGGAGGACGTGGGGCTCGTACTCGGGCGCCGGAGTCGGGGGGTACTTCTGTGGGGCGCCGCAACCCTTGAGAGGGGGCTGGTAGTTGGAGGGCAGCGCGTAGGCATTCTGGTGGCCTTTACCGAAGGCTGGCGGGGACGGGCTGTCATAGCTAGGAGTCATAGAATGTAAGGCGTTCATGAAGCCGGCCGTGGACTGCATGGGTTGCGGGGGGCTGCCGGCCGGAGAGGGACCCCCGGACGACGAGGCCAGCCCTTTGGCCTTCTGGTCTTTCTTGTATTTCATGCGGCGGTTCTGGAACCAGATCTTGATCTGGCGCTCGCTGAGGTTCAGCAGATTGGCCATCTCCACGCGGCGCGGCCGGCACAAGTAGCGGTTGAAGTGGAACTCTTTCTCCAGCTCAACCAGCTGCGCGCTTGTGTACGCCGTCCGCGCCCGCTTGGACGCCGCTGACCCCGGGGGGCTCTTGTCCCCTCCCCCGCCGCCACTGCCGCCCCCGCCGCTGCTACCGCCGCCGCCGCTACCGCCGCCGCCGCCGCCACCACAACCTTCTGCTGGACCCGAGGGGGAGGGGCGGGAAGGGGAGAAAATGAAATAAAAGATAATTACTGAACACGCCGAAATTGAATGCATCGTTTCTTAATAAATCCAGGTCTGGACTCCGAAGGCCCCGCCACCCTCCCTTTTCCGTCCCCGCCTCCTCCTCAACACCCCCCTCCTACCTCCCGTCGCATTAGCGGACACTCTATAATAGTGGCATTTATTAAGAGACCTGTTCTCCTTTCACTGCCCCAGCTTATGAAAATTTGATCATGTCACACAGACAGAGCTGCGTGGCCATTTATTTAGGGTTAGATTTTTGCGTGTGCGCGCACCCCGCCCCTGTATATATCCAAATACAAGTCTAAGATGATCCCCTTCTGTCCGTCCTCTTTACAGGATGGGTGACTGAGAACACCTTGGGGGGATTGGACACTGGTGAGTAGGCCCGGGAAGTGTGGCACTAAAGACTGCGGTGGCGGTGACTGAAGGCCAGGACCCCAGGCTGCCTGAGCGATGGTGATTAATACCCACAGTAATCATACTTAATAATAATCTGTCCTTGATGACTCTGTGCCCTCCAGGCGATGCGGCCTTGGGAAGGGCTCTGAGGCCAACCGTCCCACCTCCTGGAAATTCTTGGAAACCCAGGAGGAGGATGGCTGGAGGGATTGGGTGTTGGCAGGGTCAGAGGTCATCAGGTGGTGAGAGGAGGTACGGGAGGCGGGGGACCACCAGGCAGCCACCTAATATTGTTCCCAGGCGCCTTGTGGGCGCCTAGGGGTTGGCGTTAGAATAACAGTGACATTCCTGAACTGGACAAAAGCTGACGATGAAGGCAGAGAGCTGGTACCTGTGCCGGGGGAGCTGTTTTTCAGCTTGGACGTTTGCCTCGACTCTTTCATCCAAGGGAATATCTGTTTGGTGAGGGTAGAGTTGGAGCCGGGACCGCACTTGGGGGGGCCGCCTTTGGGGGGCCCGCCCCCGTTATTGCTGTTGCTAGTGGTACTGGTAGGAGCTGCGCTGGGTGGGGGCGAGCCCGGCGGGGCGGGCAGGGGCTCTGGGGCCAGGCCGGGCCTCATGCAGCTGCCGTTGAGCTCCTTGCTCTTGGCATGTGGGGCGGCATTGCCCAGGGACTGCAGGGAACACGCTGAGCGCTGGTAGTCACCCTCCAGGTGCGTAGCGGCCTGAAAGGGGGGCTGGGGAGGCCCGTCGTAGCCGAAACCATTGCTGCCAGGGTACGAGGAGTAGCCTCCGAAGAGCGCAGCTGCTGTGTTGTCGTAGTAGGTGGCTTTCTGCATCGCTGGGCGAGGCCCGGGCAGTGGGTGGCAACTTGCAAGGGCCTGATACCCTCACGACCGGACATTGGCACCCCTGGGGGTCACGTGACACGCCGGACCCCCCTCCCCTTTCTGCCCCCCTCCTCCCGGGTCTGTTCCAAGCGGCTGACCTGCGGGGCGAGAGAAGAGACACAGGGGGAGAAGAGGACTGGGCCTCGAATCCATCTTAGGAACTAAAAAGGGAATTGACATCAATAGGGTTTTTTTTTTTCTTCTCTCCTCGCCAGTCTTTCTGCGGCAGACGCTGGGACCAAGTATCTGCCCTGACATGGATGTTTCTTGCTTCAACTTTAATTTTAAAGGAAACAAAATAAAACACTGACTTTCATTTCGATTTAAAAAAGAAACCAAAAAGCAAAAAACAGGATTGTACTTTGAGGAAATGCTTGGGAATAGAATATCGTTGCTTCATGGACCATTGCTTCCTTCTCTCCTGCTTGTGTGCCTGCCCTGACCTCTCCTACAATATCTGCTTACCTCCTTCCACTGCCAGGGAATGGGCACTATTAGACTCCAAAATAAAAGCATCTTGGAGGCCCTCGTTCCAGTGTAGAGGCCTCTCTGCCTCCTCTCCCTCCCTCACTCCTTCCTTCCCTCCCTCCCTTCCTCCCTCCCTCCCTCCCTCCCTCCAGATCCTTCCACCTAAGCAAAGTCTAGCCTGGAAGGAACTTGCAGATCTTGGATCCAAGCCAGACTGAAAAGCAAGTTCATCTGGGACCCTTCCCTCCAGGAAGATCCTAACAGCCTGAGGTAGAAAATTCCTGAAGATTTTTAACCCCAGAGCCATGGAACCAGGCTTCATCCATCTATGCCCCATCTGCAGGTACTATCACCTTCAGTCTTGGCTCAGGCAAGCCTGGGATCTAGCAGCCAGCGGCCCCTGTGGAGACTCCAAATGGACCATGATTGTTTAGATTTCCCAGGCAAGACCGGTTGGTGCTACGACCAGACCATTTGGCTTGGGTCTCCCCCAACCTTTCCATAATAGTCTGTTTTCTTTTCTTTCTCAGGAAAAAAAAAAGTAAAAAGAAAAGATTGCGCAACTGCTGAAATTTTCTACTGAGATGGGGGAATTATTCAGGATGAAAAAGACCCACAAAACATTTTAAACACTGTTCTTCTCTGGGTTTGAAAGGGGGGGGCTGTTTACTGAGGCTCCGAACATCAAAAAATAATAACAAAATTGCTGTCACTATTTTAATACAGCCTTTCAAAAGTGCACCGGAAAAATAAAGCTTAATCATGTCAAGGTATTTTGTATTTCTTCCCAGATTTCTGCCTGTATCTCCCCTCTCTGTGTCTTCTCCAGCTCTCCGTGGGTGGGACTTCCCTTAACCCTTCCCCAAAGCTTTTCTATACCCTGTGCTTTTGGAAAAACTTAAAATATCATTCAGCTCAGCTGGTCAACTCCAAAGAAAACTCAGTAAAAATAAATGAAAGGAATGCAGGAAGAGTGAGTACCTCCCGTACATAAATGCTGTTCTTAATGGCAGACTCATACTTAAAAGGGAGCCAATGCTGCCCTGAGTTCCGATTGGTTTCCGAGAAATTTTTGATTCTGGAAATACACATGGGTCTGCTAAGCAGCAGGTCCTTCCAGGGAGGACTGGAGTTCAATTGACCAGGCTGACCCAATCCCTTTATTATTATTACCATTAGCCTCTGATGATTTAACCAAAATTAGCTTCGGAGCAGCCCTGGCTGAAAGGGAGAATTAATTAACCGGCTTCAGTTGAATTTGTTATTAATAGATAGAAAAGAGAATGAAATAAAAACGTTGGAGGGGGTTAGCTGGCTGGGCCCTGGCTTTATTTAGCCTAAGTGATTGTTACAGCAATAATGATGATGGTCATAGTAGTAATAATAATAAATAAAAACCTAGCAATTTGACTAGACGCCTGGGGCTGAAATTTCGGTCGCTCCCCCAGCAATAAGCCCCAAACCATCGCAGGACTGAGGCCAGGCAAGTATGGGAAGCGAAGGAGTCAGAGACGTGAGTGATAGAAAAGAATGGAGACTCCGCTGGCGGTGAGACAGGACCAGGAAGGTTTGTGGATTCCGAGAGCCGCCAGCTGCCGCGGCAGGCCGACTGTCTGGCCCTTGCTGCCTCGGTGGTTGGAGAGAAGCTACCAGCCTCCTACTCAGGCTCAAGGAAGCGAGGAGAAACCGATCGGGACGCCGAACTGGTTGGCTGCGGCAGGTTCCAAGCACACCGGGCCCGGCCCGGGCCGAGCCCGGCGGCGGCAAGTTTGGCGCTGGAGGTAACCGAATTAAAAGGCGCCTTGGCAACTCTGCTCCGGGACTTTGTCCAACAGGGCTCCGGGCTGGAAGGCGCAGAGGCCCGGCTGATGGGACAGTAAGGGAAGGGACCGCGGGGATCTGAGAGCTGGGATCCAGAAGAGGGGGTGGGGAACATCTCTACCCAGTCAAACACGTCTATTTCCCTTGCCTCCATGTTGGAA